ATGGAGATAGTCGAAATTATGAATATTTCCTTGGTCCTTGAAGAGGAATGAAAAAAACATAATACAATATATTTGCAGCCTCATTAAAAGTATGAACCTGTAGACACAGACAGTTATAGAAGCCGTGGCAGGCAATAAAAAGTAATTGAGTATTTTTGTTTGTTTAGGCACTTGGTTACTACAGTTATTTTTTAATACCCTTAGTTAAGTTAGTGTTGGCTAGCTTTTGTCAAAGCCCCAAGGCTGTATGATGAGTTATAACTCATGAAACACAATAGATCTATAAGGTCGCGGTGATAAACTTACCCCCTAACTAACCCCCATAAATTCTATTAAGCAGAAACAAAAAAGCAATAACAAAATAATTTAATTTCAATCAAATGAACCAATCAATCATAATAATGTTTTATTGGCAATTAGAGTAAACATACGCAACTTGTTACTAATGATTTTTTTATCAGTTAAATAACAAAACGAATAACATACATAAACAGGACATCAATGATAGGACTATTAACAAAATAATACTTATAGTACAGGGTGAGCCAACGATAGAGTAAAGTTCATTATTTCATTTGTTGTGAGAATAATTATGAAAAAAAGTTTTTAAAAAAATTTAAGCTATTTTAAAACTACTTTTGATTATAAAGGGTACTTCAAAAAATCGTGGAAGATATAAAATGTTTTATTTAATTGTTTATTTTATTTTTTACATTTTGCATACAGTTTTATAACTTTTTCAAAAAATCATCTTATATTACTTTAGATCGTTTTAAGGAAACTTTCAGGAAATTTCATATTACGAGAATTTACACTGAATAACCGACTCATTAAGAGCTATATAAATCAATTCAAACTTGCCATTATCTAGTATTAAAAGCTTATTCAACTTCTCAGCCACTTTGCAGCAGGAGGAAAAGTGTGAAAAATAAGACGAAAATCGATGATGGTAACGTTAGACAAGAGGAAAAAAAGGAGGAAAAAGTAAGTTCGATTTGCTAGTCCTAAACCACCTCGACAGCACGTCTTTCTCCCTCCTTACGTTCCTTCCTCCTCCTCCTCCTCCTCCTCAAAAAGAAAGTTGAAGTTTAAGAAAAAAGATTGAACAAGACTTGTACATTTGCGTCCCTTCTTTTTCGGTTTAGGCTTAGGTTTCGATTTGAGCCGACTGTGGCATTGATGCCACGTTTTCTTTCAAATAACGTTGAAAATAACAGCTCATATTTTTTTTCTTATACCATACGACCGAGAAAAAAAAACGGCATCAAAGATGGCTGGGGGATGAAAGTCGCTGATAATTTTGATGAGGTCATGCTCTAGGCATTATTTACTTGGCCTATAGAAAGAAGAGTTTCTTTCTTTTTTGATAGGGTTTACTGCTAGTTGATCTTAAAAGGTTGTAATTCATTTTTGTACTTTCAATTGGTGTATTCGAGAAAAAATTATACAGGGTTGCTGTTAAATATGGAAACGGTCGATTATTACGTAAAATATAGGAGGTACCACAAAAAGTTGAATATAAAAGTTATAGGGTTTATAAATATCTATCAGGGGGTAATAAATTTAAATATACAGGGTCGGTCATAAAGTCGTGGCACATCAGAGTTTCATTTTTTTAAAGGAAACCCCTTGTATATTATTACATATTTCGGTTCTTCCTTCAAATCTAAGCAAAAATCGAAATACACACAATATACCTCAAACCAACCGTTTCCGAGTTATTGACTTTTGAAAATATCACTTAAACAATTTTATTTAATTAATTTTGATATGTTCAGTTTCATTTAACGATGCCATTCTGCCGAAACTCTGATACTTAATAATATTTGACATTACTTCAAATTTATAGATGTATAAAATCAGAGTATATCAAGTTTAGCAAAATGTAGCTAAGTACTGATAAAGTTAAATTCACTCCAGATTTCAACTACTTTTCGTATATACTGTTTTAAATAAAAGTTATAGTGAATAAGACCGCATAGTGCTTCAAATAAAAATAATGTGCAATATACAGAATTTTATATTGAAACAAACAATTCTGTACTAATTCTGTAACAAACTGAAAGCAACAAAGGGGTGTCTCACTGTTGGAATTACATGTACATTTTCTTGGCAGTCGTTGGAATCACTCACTTTGTCCATCGAGAGGAGACATGGCAGTGACAGTTACGACTGTCATTTTACAAAAAAAATCTCATTAGTTAAAGCAGTCATTAATAATGTCAAGGTTTTTTTTTCAAAAATTAAGTTATTTTTTGCACTACTGCAAAAAATTTGTCTTTTAATACAGTAGATAGCGTAAAAAAGAGCTACTTTTTGCACGATAGTAGAAAAAATAATTTTTTTATTACATTGAATTTTGTTAGATTTTAAATCAGCAGAAATTTTAGTTTAAAGATGGTCATATTTCAAAAACCACTCGGTATATATTCTAACGTTATGGTATTAATAAAAAGGGAATTTTATATCAAATCCACTGAGCGAAAACAAAGACCTACAATCTTAGTGTAAAATTATATTTGGTTGTTAAATATTTTTGAAATATATGCTTCTGATGCACACATATTGTGTATAAAATAGAAAAATTTCAAATTGAGAACCTGATATAGAGTTTTTTTGTGGAAAATTGGTTCACCCTGTAATTATTTTCAAAATATGAATCAAACCATAATTTATAAAACTGTGATACGCATTTCTTGCTGTATGTTTCTACAGCAAAATATGAATTGGTTGTAGTTTCCATAAAAGTGTCTTAGTTTCCACAAAAAAGAACGTTCTACTTAACACTCCAACTGTCATATTGGCTTATTAAATTAAAAAATAATGAACACATACATAATTCGTTAAGACACGAGACACATTTCTTATTTTGCGTTGCTCTCAAGAGTTATCACTTAGTTTTCATAAAACTGACTTAATTTTCCCTAAAATATTTCGATTTAAGACACCAGCCGGCAACGCCGCCTAGCCAAGGAACAGGCCGGAAACCAAGGGAGCAGGGCATAAATTCCGAGGGTGCAATGCGACACAATCCGATGTAATAAATTAGGCTGCAATCGTGTTCATTAAGTAAATCGTTGCCGAATATAAACGGAAAGCCGCGAAAAAAGACGAATAAAAGCTTTAGAAGTCCCACAATCGAACTGTGTGGATAATTGAGGAGGGGGGGTCGGTTTCTGGGAAGATTGGGGGCGGACGGGACGTGGGAAAGCGCTAATTGAGATTCAATTAGGGGTAGACTGGTGGTGAAAAAAGCTGTAGTGTCAACAGATTAAAAGAAAAGACGGTTTGTTTGGTTTAAATTAATGTTTGTGTTATAAATAGGATTACCATCAGAATGCTGATGATTCTTGAACTCTTGAAAATATATTGTTAAAAACTATTAAACTTTACTATACCGTGTGTTGTATCGCTGAAAAGATGATTAAGTTCGCCATTTTAATCCAGAGAAAAACTTTTTACTAATTATTTTTTATACAAGACGATAATGCAATTTTATCGTCGTGTATAAAACAATATTTTTTTAGCTACGTTTTATAAAATATTCAGAAATTATTATTTCAAGGAATTTATTACGAGTAGAAAAAATATTGTGCTGGGTTGGCGTTGGATTCTATGTAATTTGACAAATAAATAAAGCTGTCCCTTTAGTTGTCAGTTTTGAGTCAATATTTTTTAATTCTCTTTCGTGTCGATTGCTGATTGGATTGGAGCCAGAAATGGCTCAAAACGAAATAAATAAATTACCAACAGATATTTAGGCTGAGGTGACAAACGCCATATCCAAACTACTTCCATTTAAATTCCGAGTAACTTATGAAAAGGAATACAAAAATTTTCAAAAATGGAAGCAATTTAAAAACGTGCGAGAAGAAATGAAGTTTTTAACCTATCCTCGCTGTTAAAGTATCATTTAATCTACCCTTAAAGTACTAATTTTGATAGATATAAGTCAATTTTAAAAGTTGTTATAGAAAAAAGGTTATGAAATTCACGTAGCATTGACAGTTTTCATCGTTTTATCCACATTTCACTATCAGATACCTGAGAGATTGCGATGCTGCCAATATGTTCTCAACGCGTATCCAGAAAACGATTCGCACGGCAAGGACAATACCAAAATATTATGCTTAGCGTTCTGCTGAACGGCTACTTTAGATTACCACTTTAAAAGCGCAACGTTTTTATGTCAAAGTTCCAGAATTCGGGCCCTGAACATAAGTAATTGATGGAAAATTTTATAAAAAGATGAAAAAAAGAAATGATTAAGTTTCCCATTAAGCTAGAGAAACACTTTTTAGAAAGTTTTTAAAGAACTCTATAAAATGGAGCAAACTGTTCATGTTGAATAACTTATACGAATTAGTTTTTCATTTATGAGAGATACAAAAATACCAAATTAACATAAGGATTACAAATTATGACAGAATATTACAAATCTATCCTTATCTTCTTATACAGATTGGTCAAAAATATCCTAAATTAAATTCTCTATAAAAAGTTACAAATAGTACACTATAAACATAATAGAATATTTTAAAAATCAAATATACAGGGTCTTAAATAAGTGCAAATATTTCCAGGGCTGGTAGATCTCGATAAAAGGAATATATTTTCTCTTTACCGTTTTTCAAATAAAAAGTCCAAAATAACAGAGTTATTCAAGTTTGATTTTTTTAAAAACTGATTTATTTTTAAAAAAAATGACAACCACCGGATTTTGCATGTATTTGCACCCCTTTTAGTGCCGGAACCATGGTAATATAAGAGATTAACAAATTATATAGTGTAAAACTTTTCTAAAAAAGTTTTCTAAAATACTATACAGGAAATTTAAAAAAAATGCACGTTTCAACAGCTTTTTTGCGAAAAAAACTCATAGATGTGTTCCTTGGGTCAAAATATATTAGCCCTAGAAATATTTAAGACTCATCCTGTATTAGACTTATTTTACTGAACTTTCATATGCTGAAATCAAGGGCTTAAAGGCCGAGTTTTACCTGAGAATCGTCTTGAGAAAAAATAGCATCGAAAGCGAACATTTTCGGAGCAGCTACGCCAACTCTTCTGTCCTCAGGTGCGGAGGATCCACCGAAAATAGTTGGATCCACCAAGGTAACTTGTTTCTTCCGTTTGTCCAAGCTGAAGAAATTGTTGGACCCCCCTCCAGTGTCTGGTATGAAGTTCCCCGTAGGATTGGACGCTCTCAACATTACTTTAACCTGTAACAACAAAAAATATGTTTAGATTATAAGCATTCAGAACATCAAAATTAGTGGTAAACATTTTCAATTAGTAGAAAGTTATCAAACTATTAACTTTTCCACTAATTATAATTCAAAATTTGTGACAAATGTCATTTTGATTTTTTTTATTTCCCTCTGTTATTTGCATACTAGGGGCAAATAACTAATTTTAAAAATCAATAATTATTTATGTATACAGGGTGTGTTATAACTTAATGTTTTGGATTTAGAGAGATAGAGAGAGAGAAATAAATTTTAGACCCATGAACCACCAGCGTTTTTTAGAATCTTTAGAATTGTGTGTGTTGAGTTTTATTAGGTGTAATTTTTTGTGGTTTTATTTACTGTAATGCTGAGTATATTTAGAGTTTTGGATTTAAAGGAATATGTTTATTTTTGAATATGAGTGTCATTCCAAGATAAAAAATTCCAGAACATAAATTAAGAAATAAACCAAAAATAAATAAAAAACTTCTTAAATCTCGTTCTGGAATGAACACGTCGACGAGCGAACACACGATATACCTCGTCTTCTTTGGCAAATGATACCGACCCATATATTTATTCGGTTAAAAGGACCGAAATGAACTCGGGCCTTATCGGGCTCCATCGACAAAACCCAATTTCCGCTACGAATCAGAACGTTACGTCGATGGCAGCGTTCTTCTGCGTAGATTCCGTATCTTTACGAATTATCAGAGTTTTCTCTCTGGTTTACGAAGGGTCTAAATCACAAACCTTGAAAAAAAACGATGGAAAAATTGTTCTTTTGAGTCGAGTTTTGAAGCATGTTAACTTTACAAATTTATGGATTTTTTAATTTTTTCCGGAAAATTGAAAAAAAAAGAACGAATGACGTATCATAGCCTTGCTAATTATGAAGATCCCAAGTAGCAAAAAGAAATTCTAAAAGGATTGAATTATTTTATAACAGTCGAACAGTTTATTAAGCGTTTGGTTTCGACCATTCTGTTTTTTAATAAAAGTTGTCATATTAAACTATTTTCTAGTGGTTTTTACAACGTATCCTATAACGCATTAAACGATAATTTCTTTTAGTATGATATAACACTTAATAAGACAATGCTATATGATAACAAACATATTATTTTATTAGACTCTTATACCCCTACCATGTAAGAGTTCTATAATATTCATATAACTAGTAGTCACAAGATCACATAATTAATTTACACAAGATCATATAATTAAATATATATATATATATATATATATATATATATATATATATATATATATATATATATATATATATATATATATATATATATATATATATATATATATATATATATATATATATATATATATATATATATATATATATATATATATATATATAATATGAATTCTGGACAAAGTTGGAAAAAAGTTAACAAACGCAGTGGTAGTTATAAAGAGCATGTAAGAAAAAACTCCTCGAAATTATGGCAAATAATCCCGAGAATTCCCTGGGTTCTCAAAAGCCAAAATCTCTCGGGTTGTCTGGCTTCTTCAAAGCATTGTTGCCACGTTGATGTAAAAGTTTTACTGTAGTAATGTTTGTATTGTTTTATTGTTGCTTTTCTAAGTCCTTAGATTGCCGCTCACTCATCGGACACGCATGAAATGCATTGCGTTTATGAATCCATGAAAATCTGATCATGTTTGTTAGTTTTAATACTAATCAAATGAGATTTGGCAACATCTATTTGTCACAAATCTCAATATGTCCAAAATAGTTCTATAGTGCCTGGAAATTCTGCGTAATGATAGATATTTATCCTATACCGTTTTATTTTACAACAAAAACTTATTTAAGGGATTCATTTATAATAAAATGGTTGCATTATAATTCGCCATGTTTAAGGCAGAATTTTTGTATGGCCTATGGCCGCCATTATATGAAGCAAAATTAAAAACATCAAAATAAATTGTAAAATGTTATTTTTGAGAACTATTTTGTGATAAGATTCCCACATAACAGTAATAAAGTGCTTAATTAAATTAAAAACATGAATTTGTGAAAATTTTATTTTATTTTATTGTTTAAATTTATATGTAAACCTTAATCGAAATTAAAGCGCTTTAATTTTTTGCCAAATACATACCTATAATCTACCAGTAAAATTTTCGGCGCTACAAAAATAGTCCCTACTTTTCAAACCCTATTAATGATTTTTTATATTACATATTTGTTGTACCTTCTGGCTCTACCCGCCATTTTCATTTTCGAGTAAAGTCTCCTTTTTAACAATCCACATCCTCTAGATTCATTTTACGACACGCTTAAAATATAATTTGCTCCTAATATTCTTCGGTAAAAAATAAAATAGTCTTGTACCTCGCTAAATGATAAAATGTTTTTATTGTTCTGTTTCTTAGATGTGACCACGTAATACACAATAAAACTAGTTTTATAATAGTCATATAACGCTGTGTAAAATAGTTGCATAAGAGTTGTATACCCTTTTTATTGAACTTCTATACTACTAAACGGTTGTATAAAAATGGGCTTTTTTGGTTGTAAAGCTATCATATTACGGTCATATAGCACGTTATATGAATTGAGGTATCCTATAAAAATTATCACATAGCTGTTTATACAGCCTTTATAAAATAAAATTTGCTACTTGTGTTCGGCAGCATATTCTATCGATGAAATTAAGTAAAAAAGTTTGTATACATTTATGTCCTATAATGCTTCGTTTGGGAGATACAGGATGTTGAAGTTTCATTTTTATTTCGATTTTTTCCATATAATTTCTGAACTAATATCGATATTTGTCTGAAAATTGGTGTTTTGGTGTTATTTTACATGGAAAATCTGATTTCGATGTTAATTTGAATCCTACTTGTAGGGGGCGCCATCTATATGTTTTTTAACTGTTTTGAAGAGCAATAGGACTAGACTTTGAAAAGTAATAGGAGTAGAGGACTTTGTGTTTGTATCTATATTAAACTACTAGGTAAAAAATATACATTTTCCACCTTATTCTACGCAAAAAAAGGTCTCTTAATAAACATCGCTACAAACAACCGTTCTCAAAATATTTGGAATAGAAATGATCAAAACATGTGTATTTAACTGAAATGATAAATTAGAGAATTTTTTATTTTTTTTAAATTAATCATATTATTTTCTAGAAAAAAAAAATATGATGAAATAGTTTCTGTTGGACCTTTGCGACAAAAATATTTCAAATTTATGATTTCAGTCTAATAACTAGCTAGTCAACATGTTTAATTTTTGTCAATGATGACATGGAGTAGTAAAAATCTTCTAGGAAAATAGTATAATAATCAAATCCTTGTATTTTTTCGGCTGTATATTTCACTAGCGCCCCCAAACGACAAGTCCAACAAATTAAAGCGGAAGAACATAATAAAAATGTCGGAATAAATCAAGAACATTGTAATTAGATGGTTTATCTTATCTTTAGGGAAGTTTTTTATTGGTGACCCGCTATTTTACGACAGCCCTAAGGTAATTTTAGGTTAGATTACCCGCGTTTCACTTCCTCCCGAAGCTAATTACTCTAACAGTAAATGCGTTTTCTATTATGCTCGTGCATTGTGAGTGTGACATTTATTGTCGCTTACTTCCTAAATCTGATAAAAGTGGATATTTATTAGTATTATATACTTAAAAAACGAAATGTCAACATATATAAATGTATAGTTATGAAAGTTTTGAAAGAACCTTGCAGGAAAACCAAAACCATGAGATTCTTGGACTATTCATTTGTTCATAACTAGTTTCATTTAATTTGATTAAAGCCGTAAGAGAAACTGTTTTAAAGTGAACAGATAATTATCACAGAAACAATAATTATATCAATTAATACTCCTATGATATAATATAACACCGTAGCAAAATGTAAACAATTAATAGTTATTCTTGAACTTCTCTTGTTTTTTTTTTCTGTTTACTAAAGCTCAATACACAATTCAAACTACCGTATGATCGAGAAAAAACGGCGTCAAAGACGGCTGGGGAATGACTATCGATGCTATTTTTGACGAGGTCGAACTCTGCTCAAAGTTAATTAACTTTATTTTGATTTTTTTAGTTAATTAAAATTCTTCTTCTTTTCACTTTAAAGATCTTCAAAAAAATTAAATTTTAATTAAAATTAATACTAAATGTAGAAAATCTAGAGAGAAAATAGTAAGTTTCCGGATACAGAAATCTATATCCAAAAATATTTTTTCTGATAATTTGAACTATACCAGTTCTAATTAATAAAAAATCTATATTAGGTAAATCCAGTAAATCGTAATTAATACAGAATGCGTCTTTAAAAGTAAAGAAGAGAAAATCAAAAAGGCTCTAACCTAACTATCGCCCGTCCCAGTCCCAGGCATTTCGATAACGTCTAGAGTTAACAAAAATTGGATTATTCTACTGTTAAAATGTATGGATTATCCTTTTGTAATTGTCTAATACAGACTAGACCTTCAGATTTACTAATACTGTAGCTGTAAACCAATATGTGTGTTCAATTACTAGTAATAATCCGTTAGTTCATGGAAGAAGTATCGTGTTTATCAACAAAGTTAATTGTAGGCCTTTAAATTTTGCTTAATATGGTCATATTTTGTAATATTCAACTCATAATTGTTGATACTTCTGGTGGATGATGTTCAATTTTATACATGTATAAAATATAAAGACACTAAATTGAAGTAATAGAAACGGTAAGGTGAGATTTTAAGAATCTGTATTATTACTTATACATTACTTTTTTACTTATAGAATATCTACCCCTGTGTATAACCTCTAAGAAACAAATTAAATGAACAAAACTATGTCAAAGAAATAGTCTATTGTATAGAGGATATAAAGAAAACCAAATAATCGATATTGACTTACCGAAATGTATAGTCATACGTTATGTTTGTACAATTTGTTTTTGAATTTCTTCTAGGTTTCTGCATCTTCAGTCAGTGAAAGTAGAAATATCATCAGCAGT